TGCAAAAGGCGAATCACAAGACGAGTTGATGTTCACAAAAGCCCATACGGATTTCACCTTGAGCCCTTCACCCTAGGAACATGCTCAGTATTCAGCATCCTCCAACTCGCATCAAGTCGAAGCCGATTCAGATCACCCTGCTCAGGATGAGGGCTACGACGAGGACGAGGACCAACATTTTCTTCATGATGTGTTCTCGGGAGGCTTCTGATTCAATGCTTCAGGGTTCTTGGGTAGGTTCCGCTGCCAGCAGCATGTGTTCAGTGGCCCGTGGTTCTCTTTCCTCGAAGTGGGCGCTGACATCCGTTGCCCGCTTGTGTTTTTTGTTGGGGATGTTTGTCTCTCGCCTTCCCTTCGTCCATATCCCTTCGTCTTGCTGTGACTCCTCTCATCCGCCCCAGCTGCTTTCCTCTCCTGAGAATCATGTTGCAGTTCATTGTCCGTTCGTGCTTTTAGGTTACTCACTCTCTCCCTCACCTAACCGTCGTCTGTCCCTCTCGTCTCGCCGTGTCCCCGAAGAAGACTCGAACAGAGCAAAGCACTGATCATGCCGCTGGTGCTGTTAACTTTGCTGGCTGTCGCGTTGGTGAGCATCTTATTCGACATAAGAGGAATAATAATCATAAGCAGAAACAGAAAAAGAAAGGACGGGGAGGAGAGAGAGCAGCTCGACGAGGAAAAGTAAAACATGGAGGACGGGGACACAGAAGAAGGGAAACGAGCACGAGCAGCAGGAAGGGGGGGTTACCGCACCGCATCGGCGGCCACAGGCGCCCAGCGAGATCGAGAGCGAGGACAGGAAGGAGAGGGGCAGAAGGAAGAGCGGCAGCGGGAGGAGGACGAGGGGACCGACGAGGAGAAGCAACACCACCAGCCGCGCACGCCTCTGCCCCCCCCCTCCACGCCAGGCGAGCATCACCGCGGAGGAGATGGACCTTGAGGCTGCGAAGATCAAGGCGCAACAGGGCAGGAGCAATCCCCCCCCGACCGCGTCCGGCCAAGAAGCTGCCGCCTGGACGGCCTAGAGTCGGCTCGTCGTCGCCGCCGCTGTCGTCGCTGTCTGGCGGACGTGTCGTGACATGCCTAGGGCCTAGTTCGCCTCGCACTACTTGCGGCGAAGATTCTTAACGCCTGAGGCCTCCTCCCGTGCCCTCCGAGGCCGCCCTCTTCTTCCCCATGTCGTCCGCGTGTGTGCCCGTAGCCCTCGACCGCAATTGGCGCCTCCATGTGCCGTCCGCGCGTGAGGACCCTCTGCGCCACCGGCTTAAAAGTGCCCGTAGCCCCCGCTCGGCGCGCCAGGCACCTGAACGCGATGTGCACTGACCCGGGCCTCCGATGGCCTCTGGACTCTGGGGGCCTCCAGGGAACCCCAGAGGCCTCCAGAGACGTCGGGGCCCTTCCAGAAGTCGTTTCGTCGCCGCCGCCGCCGCCGACGCTGTTGTCGCCATGTCCCCAAAGGCCTCTGGACTCCTGGTGATCTCCAGAGACCTCCTGACCCCCGCCCCCCCGAGACGTCGAGACCTCTGAAGGACCCCCCCCCTCCCTTCCTCCAGCGTCAGTTGCCCTCCTACCCTTCTGCCCTGCAGGGACATCTCAGCGATCCCGTCCCCCCCCGTACCACATGGGCGCAGGGGACAGTCCAAGATCTGACACTCAAAACCCACAGCAAGGATGTAGCGTTTTCCGAAGGGCGCCCTCACATGATTTCCATGTCGAATGCATCCCATTTGGCCATGTGTCGCTGGAGTGGTTCACGCATGGACGCATAATGGTCACGCATCTCGACCCTGCGCCCGTGCAACGGTGGTGGCATTCTCAAATGGCAAATAGGGGCGGTGGCCGTGCTTTCGCCTCCTCCTCCTCCTCCTCATCCTCCTCATACTCCTCTTCCCTCCTCCCTCCTCCCTCCTCCCTCCTCCTCCTGCTGTGCCTCCTCTTCCTCCTCCGTCTCCTCCTCCTCCTCCTCCTCCTCCTCCTCCTCTTCCTCCCCTTTTCCGCCGTGTCCATTTTGGGTCAACATGCCAAGCTCCTCAGGAGAACGAGTGGACACCTTTGATCTGAGGCAGGCAAGACCCTTGGAGGCCGGGTAGTTTTTCACACACACACACACACACACACACACACCTCCACATACGGCTGCCGTTGTGCACGGACACGGGCAGAGGCCGAGGACGACGGCGTCCGATCCCGAAGCGCCGCGACCTGCGCCCCTGGCGCGCTCCCGGGGCGTGGCTCCTGCTGTTGTGCGTGCTGGCATTGGGCCGCGAGGTCCTGCTCCTCCTCGATCTTCGACCAGCTGCAGCACGTCCTGCAGCGAGCAATGCCGCCGTGAGGCGGTGCGCAGGCGCCAACGCCAGCAGCGGGACAACACGGAGCCTTGACGGCCCCCCCCCGCCAGCGTGGCAGCCGCGCGGCCTCAACGCGGGATGGCGAGCACCCAGGCGGTCGCAGCGCTGGCGCTGGAGCAGGGGACGTTGGTGATGTGGGTCGCCCTGCCGGCGAGCTCATGGACGGACTGGAATTCATGCCAGTTTCCCCGTCTCAGCAGCAGGCGCAACTGGAGTGGACCGCCACGCCGATCGCCACGGGTGCTCCTGCTGCCGCCTGGGCCGCAGAAGCCGCGAGGCGCTTCGGCAGCGAGGAAGCTGGTGGCGGCAGAGGCACGGCCGTGGGCTCCCATGACCTCGTTTCGATGCTCTCCAACATGGAGCGCCGCTTCGGCTCCAAATCCAGAGTAAAACAAGTGACCTCTCCGTCATCCTCCAGCTGACCCAACAGAAGTTTGCCCAGGTTGTCGACAATCGCTTCGCCAACGTCGTCGCGATGCTTGGCAGCGCAGGGCAGAAGACGCGCGACTTCAGCAAGCTGCGACAGGAGATGGACGAGCTCCGCAGTGACAGGGCTTCCCTCCACTACGGGCTGGCCCCAGCCTGTCGACACTACCATCTTGGCGATCAATGCCAAACTGGATGTTCCGTTGTTGGCGGTGGCGGATGCGCTGCAGCAGCTGCTGGTGGACGCGGAGCTACGATTTCTCTCCCGATCCCACGCGGCTGGAAAGAGAGGACATGGGTCGCCATTTCAAGCTGCGCTGTCTCGGGGCTGCCCGTCTGGCGGAGCGCCGCATCGGCAAGCTTCTTGCAGCGTACGGGTTCCTCCTCGTTGCCGGGGCTCGCAGCGGCCCTACCCAATGGAAGTCGAGTGCAGCTGAGCGCCGGCCGCGACCGCAACCAGAGCCAGATCTCCCACCAGCTCTTCATCAAGCACATGAAGAAGTCACTCCAGGAGTCACTCCCAGACCGCCTCTTCGTGGCGAAGGGATCGAACGCACTCACGGCCAAGTGGCGGCAGCTCCTCAAGTTGTCCATCTCCGCCCCCGTTGCCATGCCTGAGACCCCGTGGAGCATGGTGGCGGCGCGCTCGATCCATCATGCGCAACAGTGGACTCGTCGACCGTCTTTCGAAGGCATGGGGTGGTAATGGGAATGTCATGTGATCTTGGCTCTTGGAGCTGTCGGGCCTTGAAGCAGGCTGGGAAACGTGCGAGCAAGAGGATCAAGAACAAGCTCATGTGCATGCAACGCCCATGAAGGGCACAATGTTGTTGGCTCTCCAGGAGACACATGCTTCCTCTCACAGCATGATGGCGTCGTGAAAGGGTCGGAAAATGCCCCACCCGCGCCCAGCAGGAGGTCGCGAGAATGCAAATGTTATCGCCACGGCGGTGCCTGACACGTCAGAAGGCTACACCTGCGATTGCGTCTCCGATGTAGTCCGCGGTCGCACGGGGCTCAAGGGCGCGATCCAGTCTGCGGTGCCTGGGATGGCCCCTCGGACCCTCGTGCATTGGAACGTTCATCATCATGATGCAACTCCGGACCAATGCCAGCGCGCGGCTGCCCGCATTCGCCGGGACCTCGCGCGGGCGCATCAGCGCCCAAGCGCGCGTTCAACCCTCATCGCCGGTGACTTCAATTGTGGAGATCACCTTGCATAATTGCTCTTCTGCGGGGGCGCCAGGGCCCGACGCCACAGGCGGCCGACGCCCCTGGCCCCGCGCGCCGCGCGACGTCGGCCGCGGAGCGCCCCGATGCGCGCCGCGAGGGCCCCGTCTGACTGCGACTCGCGCGGCGCCCATTGCACTGCCGGCGGAGAGTTCTAGAAGAGCACCGGGCAAACTTGGGCCCGATGCGCTTCCGCGAGCCAAGCGGGCCGTCTTGCGCGGCGCCCCAGCCAGCGACGACCGCGGGGGGCGACGCGGGGGCCGCGGGGCAGATGGCGGGTAGGCCCGCTCACTGGAGCGCCAGCGCCCGCGCCGGCTCCTCCATCGACCGCGCGCGCGGCGGGCCCCCGCGCTGGCAGCGGCACCGCGGGTGGTAGGCGCGACGGTTTCGCGGGGGGCCGCGCGAGCTCCACATCGGCGACATCAGCGACCACCCCGCGATTGCAGCATCGTCGCCGCGACGCAAGTGGGGCCCGGGGCCCCTGACGCGCCAGCGGCCATCCCAAAGAAGATTTGTTTGAGACCTCGCTTCCGGGACATCGCGGAGAGCCGCGCGGAGATGGCGTCGCCTCGCGGGGACCAAGTGCTTCGCGGGGATCCTGCGGGTGGCCGCCAAGGGCGCCCTGCGGGAGATCCCGCGGCGGAGAGACGGGCCAAGGGCGCCCCGGCCATCATCTGGAGGCAGCTAGCCCGCCCACATTGGCGCCTGGACGGGCGCCTCGCGCCGATGGTGACTACGCGGAATGAATTGGCGCGCGAGCTGGCGCAGGTCTCGGAGCAGGCGAGGACGGCCGCGATCACCGACTTCGCGGGGCCCCAGAGAAGCTACAAGGTTGCCCAGCAGAGGCAGGCGCTCCGCGGGGGGCGCGCGCTGGAGAAGCCGGCCCAGCTCGAGGCGCAGGAGAGCAGCCGCCAGCAGATCGTCGCCCCGCAGCAAGCGTTTCGCCGGCGCGCCCGTGTCTGGACGCGCCTTACAAGTCGGATGCATCGGCCATTCTCCGGGCGGACGGGCCCGAACTCACGGGGGCAGCCGACGTCGGCGCGGCTCTGGGCCAGCGCCGGGGCCAGCAGTTCTGCCCGCTCACTCCGCCCGAGGCGGCGTCAGGGCGCGAGAGGGGGCGGCCGGCCCAACTCGCGCGCTTCGGGGCGCCCGCGGCGAGCTGAGAGGGCGCCCGGCCACAGCAGCAGGATGTTCTGCCAGAGGCGCCCCGCCGCGCTCGGCCGGCCGCGCCCGACCCAGACGGCCCCCCAGCGGCGGCGCGGGTCGCAGGAAGCAGCGGCGCCGCCACCCTCCACGGGCCGACGCAGTGGACGATGAATGGTCCACCCAAGAGATCCGATGATTTTCGCGCGAGTGGCATCTTCAGTCCCAAGGCATCGCCGACGGCTGATCTGCAGATGGCCCCTTCGCGCCCCAGGCAACGCTCGCCCGATATCATCGCGCAGCGCTGGGGCCGAGGCCATAAGTCCAGCGCTGAGTCGGCCCGCCTGGAGAGCGGCCCAGCAGGCCGTCGCCCTGAGTCAGCGGGGCTGCGCATGTAGAATTTGCTTCGGCGGCAGCCACGTGGCGGTTGCAAGCGTGAAAGCAATGTGCTGCCATCCGCCCTCGAACATTCTCCTCCTCGCGTTCGCTCGCGGTCGCGCCTCCCCCGCCGCTGCCAAATCGCGGGTCGGGCGGGCCCTGGCCGCGGGGGGGGGGCGCCCGAAGGTCTCGTCATGGCCGCCGAAGCTAATTATCACTGGGCCGCCACCGTCAGCGTCGACAGCGCTAGCGATCTCCCCCCCCTCATCCCTGTCAGGCCCCCCCGTGGGGGCGCCCTTCGCAGGGGGCCTTTGCGTCCTGGCCGCGCAGCCTCTCTGCATTGAGACGGGGCGCGCCCACAAAGCGCCGGGCCATGGGGCGGGGAAGCGGCGCGCGGACGACTCGGGGGCGGCGGCGAAGGGGCAGCCAGGCCTCCATTGAGCTT